TAATAGACACAGTTAAGTTTGTTTTGTCTTAAATCACACACAAAACAATCAAAGGTAATCCTACAATTGTTAAGAACATAATATTCAAAATAGTTGTTTCCATGAGAAATGACCCCAACAACATATTCAAAGCAGTTTCCCAACAAAAAAGATGATTATTTTTAGGGTTTGATTTCGTTCAAACTGAGCAAGAGGAGACACAAATTGTTTTGGGAAGTAGAAATGGTGAAGAAGAAAGACGTTTCCCAATATTAACTTTATTACCTTTTTTAATTCATTAATTAATTAATCAATCAGATTTAAAATAACTGAAATGTGAAATTTGAATATCAGATAATTCGTTTTCTTGGTAGTATGAACCTTCAAAAGGAATATAAGTTTTATGTCAAGCAAATATGTACATATAAAAATGTTTGGAGGTGCAAGGGGTAATTTTCTCTTTAATGTGTTGTTGTGTGTAAAAACACCTGTAGTCTTTATGTGTTGCTGTAGTTTTGGGTTTAATGTGAGATAGCTTTAGGATGTGGTTTTTAGGTATTTGGTGGATTAAACCGGCTAAAGGGTTCGGGGCGTTTGTCCCTGCTTTAGTCGTGTTGTGGGTCGTTGCTTCTAGACCACTATTGAAGTGTGTCTCTCAGTGTTTGTCCTCTCGGGGATTGTACCCTTTGTTGTTCCTTTTCGTAATTAATGGAGTTATCTATGGTTGGAAAAAAAAAATAATAAAATAAAAAAAAATAAAAAATCTTAGCAGCCTCTAGGTAACATATAGTTGCCGAGGCTTTTGCTTTAATATATAAATAAGTCGGTTGATATTATCTATTATTCTATTAGTTTAGATTGAGTTGTTCGTATTAATTTATCACACCAAAACTATAAATCTTTGATAACCAGACAATGGGTTGTTAAAACCAAATAAATCTATAACCATAAAGCTTAATCCTATATGAATTTGAATTAAAATCAACAACCATATACCAAGATTTGAATCATTCAAATAATCCACACTATCCAATATACTAAATATATTTGGTTGGAATAAAAATATATGTACAAAATATCCTTGGTTGTTAAAACAATATATATACAAACCAAGCAACAAATCAAAGAATATATACTCTATATTTGCAATAAATCGAAATGCACGTTCTAATCACACACTCTTTTGTGAGCAATCAAATCGGTTTTCACAATTTTTCAGATTATTACTTAATCCATGGTTTTCAAAAATATATTACTATATTGATCCGATTGGAAGTTTACATAAATAAAAAATCATTTGATATCAATTTTATTTTTATATTTTATTGATTAATAGAATCCAGACTATCCATGGTTGTTACAAATATATATCTAGAATACAAGTAACTAATCGGATAAGGGTTTGAAAAGAACATCCTACTGATAAATACTAATGATTTACTTGGAATATAATCAAACGAAAATCTCATTTAACATAATTTAGAATTTTAATCGCTTATTAGTGCAATGATATATCTAGCCAAATATTACAGCAAATCTTTTGATAATTTTTCTCCCATTGGGTTGTTAAAACCAAATAAATCTATAACCATAAATCCTAATCCTATATGAATTTGAATTGAAACCTACGACCATATACCAATATTTGAATTATTCATAGAATCCACAATATCCAAAATACTAAATATATTTGGTTGGAATAAAAAAAACAAATATGCACAAACTAATTAACTATTCCGATATGCAATTAAAAAATAAGATTGATAAGCATGAGGTTATTTGTTAGACTAATCCGATCTTTTATAAAATGATATTTTGAATATAAAAGTTATACCAAGATTTTTATACTTCTTAGACTCCACAATTTACAAAATATCTATGGTTGTTAAATCAATATATCTACAAACCAAAACAACAAATCAAAAAATATATACTATATATTTGCAACAAATCAAAATGCACGTTCTAATCACACTCTTTTGGTTTGCACTCAAATCGGTTTTCATAATTTTTCGGATTATTACTTAAATCCGTGTGTTTAAATAATATATTACTATATTGTTCCTTATGGAAGTTTACATAAATAAAAACATCATTTGATATCAATTTTATTTATATATCTTATATAAATATTTTATATTATATTGATTCATAGCTATCCAAAATACTAATGGTTGTTACAAATATATATCTAGAAAACAATTAACTACTTGGATAAGGATTTCAAAAATAAAATTGATAAGCATGATCTTATTTGATAAGCTAATCAATGTCGGGAGCAAGCTTAAACCTTAGCCTACCGATCTTTTTTAAAATGATATTTTGACTTTAAAAAATATAACAAGAATTTAACACTTCTTAGAACCCACACTTTACAAATTACGTTTGTAAGTTAAATAATATAAACACAAAACAAGCAACAAATTAAACAATATGTAAAAAAAAAAACTAATGAATCTTTTCAATTTTTCTTAATCAAAGTTTTGAATTAGATTTCAAAAAAGTAAAATGGCATGAAAATTCATATAAATCTATACTTTTTTCTTACTAATTTTTTTTTAATAAATAAGATCCTTAATTTTTTTAAGAAATGTAATTTGTTAACTAATAACTAATAATACGCAATTTTAGATCAAATTCGAATACCCATGTAATATTTTACGTGTCATAAAATCAAACCAAGAATGTTGTACATAAAGAAGTGTTCAATAATATATAAATTTTATTTTCATTATATTTTAATGTCATGAGACAATTTAAATGCAAAAATACTTTTTAGAAAGCAAAAAGGTAATAAATGCTCCCGTGCATCGCACGGGCACTGTACTAGTTAATGAGGTATATTCATAGTACAATTAATAAGATTCCTCATAACAATAAGAAGACAATGAAATAGTTGTATTCTTTTTTATTCGATCACGTTTTTTTTCCACATAATTTTCTTGAAAACATTTTAATGAGAACATATTAACACTAATTTAGAGTTGTTTAGAAAATCGTGGTGCAATGGAAACTGTTACGAATTTATTATTGACCTACCATATTTATTTGAATAAATGTGACTATTTTGACCTTAATTAATACTATTTATAACATTGTGTTATATTTTTTTTTTTTCAAACAGGTATTTCGATTAAATGAAAAATCATACCAAAAGTATAAATTCTCATTATTCTAGTTCAACAAAATTCAGATTCTTACTACAATCCTAAGCAATAAATCCGTTGAATCTACAGCTCCACTGACTATCAGGATTGAAATAGTCGCATATTCATAAGTATTTTCTACATTTACTATCCCCGCAACTATGACACAATAGACTAATATTATTTATTTCTTTAAAGTCCTTCCATTTATTTCAAAACTCCAACAAATAACTACTTTCATGGAGTTCAACAACAAACAAGACAGTTACCGAAGTGTATACGTAAGGTATTTCTAGCAATTTCGACCAACACATTAAAGTTGAAGCATAATATCTGCAGAATGTACTACATAATTTATATATTAAAAAATTTCATAAAAAAATAAAATTTACATGGGTGGATCTTTTCCAAACCTCATCAAAGCATGAGTTGCCAACATTGATGCTCGTCTGGTCGCCTCAATTATGCGCCCAGCGAGTGGCACTCTCACTGTCTCTCTATTCCATAATGGTTTCTTATCCCACCTATTACATTTCAACATATATATTAATGAGAGACAAAAAACAGAAATACAAAAACTACTATAAGATAATCCCATGTATGTTATAAGCAACTGTCATACTTTCCAATTAAAAACTAAAATTTGGATTAGAAACGTTGTCAACGAACCTATTGAATTCTTCATTATAGAGCTTTGAACGCAAGATGTAAAATAATTTAAATATTCATATACCAGTCTTCATGGCGAATAACTTTTCCGTTCTCCGTATATAACTTGATGAGTGATATCACATCGATGTCTCTCCCCAGGAACTTGTAGAATTGCTTGTTGTCAATTAATATCTGAATACCCACGTAACATCACAATGAGAGCTAAAATGGCAATTCTGACTAAGAACATCAATTAGACAATTACCAAAGCAAGAGATAAATGACTGAGAATTTCGTTCACCTCTGTCTTTCCTGGTGCAATTATGTTTTCTTTAATGCTGTAGTCCACGATTCTTGATTCACTGAAGACCTGCAAGTAGCAATATTTGATCATGAGTAACAAGAAGATTTTAGAAATCACACCTCTCATTCTTGAGACTTTTTCAACGTATTTTTGCACTTTTCTAACAAAGAAAAACTGAAATTTGGCAAACTTATACACAAACATGTGACACATGCACACATGCCCACAACTTTCAGAAATGTACTAATATTGGCACGTTCGCTTACAAGCAGTCAACTGAACTTGGCAAGCTTAAAAATTACAAACATGTCACACACATACATATATACACAAACACACACACACAAGAAGTTGAATTTTAAACAATAATACAACCTTGGCAAGTGAATAGAATGCTGATTTAATCTGGTTTACCCTGCATGCAACAAGAAAATGCAGGTGATACAAACTTAGCAGAGGCATTTATTATAATTCGAATCTATGATGAAGAACATTCTTGAGTACCTTCAATCACGAAAACTTGATCATTGAATCGGATAAAATATGATACAAATTCTGTCAATAAGCTTAAAACATGTTAATGTGACCTTTTTACCTTCATCACTTTTGGTCTTGAGAGCTAACAAGAGTTCTTCGCACAAAATTTTATGCACTTTTCACTAAGTTCTCTTTGCGCTTCAAATGTGAGGCTATGTGTTTGGACATGAACACTTGATCCAATGCTAATAGAAACTTAATTGGATTTTAAACTATATTCTGAATACCAAATCTCAGAAAAGAAAAACACTCAAGAAGCAATATAAAGGTCTCTACAACCCAGAAATGACTCCAAACATTTCAAAACAATTCCAAAAGTTGTACTTCCAAAAAAATTATCATACATATTTGTTTTTTTTGGTGCTTCATGATATAAATTGTTAAGGTTAGGGTGTCATTCAGTTGTATCATATTCTCCATATCATATTAAATTTCAACATACAATCCCATCTTGTGTTTTCGAATCAAGAGTTACATTATAACGGGAGGTAAACTAATGGCTTGCTGTTTCTACTTATTGATGACAGAATCAAGAGTTTATAAAAATAACAAAACTAAAGTAACTACATTGGAAAATAAACAATTTTAACAAAAAAAATCATTCCAAGTGCAAGCGCCGAACTGGCAAGCTTAAAGTCGATAATTCATATTCAACAGAAGATTAACCAAGGAGGAAACAAGTAACCCAAATGAAACTGTAACAAGTATTCTAACCTTCCGAGCTGAAAGCCTGAATTAATTATTAATTTAAATTAAGATTTGTACTCTTCTACTTGCTGTGTAAATTGATAGCAATTCCTACATGTTACACAAAATCATGACTTAACTTCAGAATTCATCTATTGATTCATTCACTGAGATCAGCAAAATCCATAACAAGTAACCCCAAATATAACTATAACTGGTATTCTAACCTTCCGAGCTGAAATCCTAAATTTTTAATTTATTTAAATTACGATTTGTACTTTTCTAACTGCTGTGTAAATCGATAGCAATTTCTACATGTTTCACAAAATCATGACTTAACTTCATAATTCATCTATTGATTCATTTACTGAGATCAGCAAAATCTTACCCATGTGCACACATGAGTGGGTCTTCAAAGGTTGCATGAGGCACATAGATTTCAAAGTCCTTAAATGTGGCGCGGGATGCATAACTGAAATCATTGGACAAAATAACAATCATAGATTAATTCATTGAAACAACTCGTTGCAGTAAAATGACCGATAATTTACATGAAAGCACCACCTATACGGAAAAAAATTAAAGAGATCGTGAGACGGGTATACCAAACTAACAAAGTTTCTCACAAAGCATATTCTGAAGGGAAGGCAGTTCATGGAATAAGAACTCATTAAAGATAAAACGAGAAGAAAATACTAACATGAGAACACTAAGGTAAACTAATGGTTCCAGTGCAATGTTTAAAAAACCGTGTAGTACCATATCAGCCATAGTTCCTACAAATACACATAAAATACCGGATAGACGATGAGTTGTACCATACATACTTGAAAAAATTGCACGTGAACAAAAAAAATTGAAAGAACCAGAGAAAAATAAAAACACACAAAAAAAAAATACCTTACAAACTATATATTTGCAACAATAGTTGAGATATTCTAATTTTTTAATCTTATTTAAAGAGACTTGATGAATGCGGTCATTTAATTTACTATTACATTTACTAATCCGGTAATATTGGGATATTACAAATCCCACCTGTAATCGGCTTATGGATGGTTAGGCCAGGCCGACTACCGGTACTGTATTTGAAAAATTGGTCCAAACCTTCAAACTTTTCACTTTATCCAAACATGATATGTTAAGAGGAAAAACAAATGTCCGATGTAGTATCTTTGAGGAGGGGCATCAAAACACAGTTCAATAACAATAGCTGCTCTATTTTCTCTGTAAGGTGCTAATCATTAACTCACTAACGTGGTCAGCAGACGGTAAGTCAAAGTTAAACGGCAAACACGACTGAGGAAGATCAGGTTAATTCAAAACTAGATACATGTTGCCACCCTAAGTACTGTAAAAGGTGTAACCGAGGTTCCAATTAAGGGAAAACAACTTCACAGGTCACGTACATAATATAAAAACAACAACCACAGCAACAATATGAGGGACCATCATAGGAATTAGGAAATAGCAACGGATGTATTCGGGTTTAGAGCTCAAGAAACTGACCACAGTCAATATTTAAAGACCAAATTACAATATTCCACAGCATACCCAACTGTAACAAGTCATATAATTACAATGGCTGGTATATTTCTGATGTACAAATTGCTATTTATCATTTCAAGCCACTTCTCATCACGAATTTCTTTGGAGCCACTTTCCTAGTTTTAGATAACATGGATTATTGATACGACCTAACTTCAAGGTTGTATCGGTTTGATTCGAATTGCTTCAAAACGAATCGAGTTTTGCCAAGCAAAAAACGATATAACTTTTTCATTTATATTCTAACTATAGAGAACAACTATAAATAAAGTCCTGGCAACAAAGGAAACAAGGAAAATGATATAAAATATGGAAATAAAGATAATATAGAATCGATAATTCTTAAGCCAAAAAGGATTCCTCCTTATCAGACTTCCGGTCCACCCTCGACAACCCATCTGTTAAAGTCATCTCAATTGTATTACTCATTGGTCCCATGACTTGTATGTAAGGTGAAAAACTTGCACTTTCAATCATCCATGTTAGAAGACTCGAGAAGTATACCCACAACACTTTGTTAAAGAGTCGAAACATTTTTGGTCCATTAATGCATCACTATAACAAGACCCAATATTTGCATACAGGTATAAATCAATTTCTGAAAGAGACTTTGAACATGGTGTTTGATAAGTGTTGCACATATGTAAGCTTAAGTAGAACACTGTGACTATTAATCCTGTTTCTTTGCACATGGCAGACTTGTTACTCATTTAATACTTACTGGAAAACAAATTGAAAATAACTTTCGCTGAGAGTTCAACATCTTGAGGCAATTTGGATCAAAGTCTCGGATAAGCCTATCCAGTTTAAGGTGAAAGGATATAAACCGACAAATAATAGCCGGATTGAATACAGCAGATAAAGGGATTGACCGAACACGAATTTGCAGTACTTAGGAGAACTTACCCTTTTCCTCAAAAACAACCACAAATGATTGTTCTAGGACATGAAATTTCGTGGTGGAATAATATTAGGTTTCAAACTACTTGTGAAGGCTAATTTAAAGTTCCCATAAATTGTGATCTCTAGAGTAATGAACACAACCAATGAAAAAGTAATTAGGCTACATTAATAAGTTGGGAATAATTAAACCAGCGAGAGAGTTGACAAAAACAAGAATTGTAGAAAATTCGAAAAGACGGCAGTAGCTCACAGGTTAAGAATATGAGGGAGTATGTTGTCCGCAACCCGTTTCGTAGGTTTCATCTCACAAGCTCCCTTGCAGTAGCCTTCCCTTGCCTCGTCAGAATTCCCTGTGCAAATCACAATTTTAATCCAACTAATAATTAAGGAGCAAAATTAAAAGAAGAATACCTTGTGGATACTTTTCCATGTTTGATTGAGACAATTTCTTCTTGTGGGATGAGAGCAGAAGGATTATGGTATCTCAAACTTATATTTGTCACGGAGTGCGCGAATAGTAGTACGAACTATGATAAGAATTGTAAAATGCGGAAGCAAACAACCGAAGATTAATAAACTCTTCAGGGAAGCGTCCCACTTCCCCTCAGAGCTCTTTCATTGATAGATCACTCGTATACATAGTTTGGACTTAGAAAGATTCGAACTCCCTTCAAATCTAGCCAACACTACTTGATCCTATCAACTAATCCTCCGGCCACGTCCCGTGGACTTATAAACCTACACTTATTCCCTAAGTGTACAAACCGTAAAATAGTTTTGATGAAATGTATAAAGAACTAAACGAAAGCAGTACTAGTCCTTGAGTTTGTAAGAACTCTCAGACTGAACTGAATACAATCAAAATAGAACCGAAAGCAAAATGAAGCTTGAATGGCTCTCGAATTTTTCTCTATCAAAATCCGCGGCCGCCATAAGCTTCTTCTAAGGTATTTATATGAACTCCTTTTAGGGTTGGAGTCTTCTACAAGGCATAGGACTTCAAACAAGATTTACTTCCAAGGATACCATATCTTTGGCAAGTAAATCTTCTTTTCTCTCTCTTTGATCTCCTCTCCAAGCATGTCTCTTTTCTTCCTCTTCCTTCTCTCCTCACGAGCGAATCCCTGTCATTTCCAAAAACCATAATAAGATCTACACGGACTTATATAAGGAATATAAAACAATATTACTTAAGGAAACATAATATACAAAGATCTTCCCTTTTATTCTGTGGTTCCAGGTGCTTGTTCGAACTAACGAACTAATGCCAAAATAAAATATCTTTCAATCTCCCCCTTTGGCATCTAGTTCGAAAACATCAGACTTGAAAAGTCTCCTACAACAATAAAAACAACAAGCAACCACAGATAAAATCAAGTAAAGATTAGTTCAATACATCACAAGTTCTCCTTAAAGCAGTTCTCCCCCTTAGTTCCTGCAGAATTCAACAGAATGCTTCTAAATTCATTTTAACCATAGACAGTAAGGACAACAAAACAACTCCATTAATCCCATAAAACAAACTTAGTAACAAACAGCAAATAACCAACCACATAACAAGTTTCCCTACAATCCTCAAAACACATAAAGAAACAAGAACTACTCCAAGCTAACTACTCCTCATCTCCAAGCTTTTCAGTGGCATCATCAGACTCTTCATCCTCCTTCTCAACGCTCTTACTAGCAGCAAAAACCTTCTCCCCCTTTTTCGAACTACGGGATGCCGAAGGGCCTGTCCCCGAGTTCCGAGCTGATCCCTTGACAGCCTGCAGCACTTGGCGAAGATAACTCTGTTGAGCAGCAACCTTCTTGGCCAAATCATCCCAGTCTCCAAGTTGCTGAGCCACAAACTCACCCCAATTTTTTGGGACCAAGGAAGGAGCGAGTTCCTTCGTGACCTTGGAAATCCCCTTTTCATTCAAAGTACGAGCACTAACAGAGAGTGCTTTCCTGGGATTCTCAAGAGAGTCTTGGAAGCGAAGGTTAACAGAGAAATTATGAGCAGACAAGAAGGACCAAATGAGACAAGGGAAGGGAAGAGTTTTGCGGGACTCATTGTTAGCAACAAATGATTGAAGTATTTGAAAGACAAGATCCCCAAAGCTGAAGACTTTCCCAATCATGACCCAATAAATGACTTTACATTGCAGCTCGGTAAGCAGGGTTTTATTTGAAGTAGGGGTCCAGTTGCCAGCACCAATTTTGTGCAACAAATTAGCAACTAAGCAAAGAGAATTCACAGACAGGTTTGAACCAGGCCAAGTATCCAACTGACCAGAAGTGAGAACTTTGGTCATTTCATCCGAATCAAGATCAACAAGAGAAGAGCTATCAAGATCAGAGGGCAAACCAAGATGGGCATTAAACAAAGCAGGAGACACATCAATCACACGGTTTCGGAGAAAAAGTTTATGAAAACGAGGGCTATCAGGGTCAAAAACAGCAGGAGTGAGGTTAGCATAGAATTCTTTGACAGCTTGGCCACAAAAGGGTTTAACATCAGACACGGTCTTCGAAAGACCCACTTGCTCGATCAAACGAAGCACACCGAGTTCAGCAAACTTACCATCAGTCACAGGATGTTCCGACCAGAACTCATAAGACCCAAAATTAACAAAGCGTTCGTGAGCCGCTTCTGTATACAACCGATTGGTGAAGGTATTCTCAAGGTCATACGCATCATCTTCAGGTTCAGGAGGGACAAGGGGCTCATCGATGGCTTTCCCACGACGGCGGGTGGAACGACGAACTGGAACCTTCGAAGGTGGTGATGGCTGGTCAGAATGGACTTCAACGGTGGTAGCCGCCGTATCATCTTTTTCGCCTTCGGTAGTAGTCGTCTTGGTGACCGACTTAGTTGCAGAAGTTGGAACAGCAGACGACTCCCCCTGAGTTGGAACGACAAGCGGTTCAGCCGGCCCAGAAAGTCCAGGAACTCCAGTTGCAAGTGGTGAAACTTCAAGATTCTTGCGGACATTGTCAGATTTCGACTGAGAGCCAGACGAAGAAGAGGCGAGAGAAGCAGATTTAGTTGAACGCGAAGATTCAGGGGCCGGGTCTTTTGCTGGTGGCGAAGGTTCACGTGCAGATCCAGTGGACAAGGAAAGTCGGCGGCGCTTAAGTCGCTTCTCTTTCTGCTTCTGGAGTCGTCTCTTAGCTTTGTCTTTGTCGCCAGCCATGGGAGAAGAACGAGGATTGAGAGAGGGGAATTTAGGGTTTCAATCGGTGTAGGTGAGCAAAGGAGAGAGAGATAGAAAAGTGAAAGTGAAAGAAAGGAAAGAAAATATATTGAAATAAAAAGTAGGGAAGAGACGTGTGTTGTGTTCAGTTGAGAGACGTTGGATTATGAAAAACCGCAAAAGGTAAGTTCCGAAATTCAAGATGGTAATGTGGGCGGTTTTAGGAGAGAGAGAGAATAATTAGTGAAACTAATCCCTCCAATAAATCAAAATTCAAACATACCATAACTTCCCACATCAATAACGGCTCACATTATTTTGAAATTTAGGAAGGAAATCAGATTTTATCCATGAATACGTCCTGCACAAACACTCGGATCACGTTCAGAAAGGAAATCATATGCAAAAATGCCTAAGAATGAAAAGGAATAAAAATCGCACACAAAGTGCACTAAAATCATAAGATCTTTTCTTTTCCAACTTAGACAAGAGCGACGGCAACAATCAGAGACCAACTATGAGATTCATATTTTCTGAGGAACATAGGTTAAACGGATATATGTATATACACAGAGTAGTGCGAACCACAACTTTCAATATATTTTTTTTTCGAAAGAACACATGCGTTATTATTCATAGTGCATTTCACTTAGTAACAATCACTGCAATAGTGAAAGTCGACCCCACTACTTTGCACTACAATTTTCAGCAAGGATCCCAATTTTTTTTTTAGGATCCCAAATTTTTTTTTTTTTTTTTTTTTTTTAAACAAAACGCACTACGGTTTTTATGAGGATGACCACCTTATAACTTCGCATAAGAACACCACATAGTAATATGCAGTGTGTGTCACTAGCTTACGCCCTTCTCAACATTTTCTGTACAAGACGCTCTTTTCACAGTCGATCCCGCTTTGGGAAACGAGCCATGTGCTAGCTATCGCTCTAGATCATTTATGAGAAGGCAGCTCTTTTTGACAAAAGAAAACAAAAATACTAAAAGTAACTATGTTCCTCAATCCAATAAGAACTCGCAGTCAGCCTAGAACTGCTAACATCACTCAGGTTTTCAGAAAGGATCAGAACGTCAATTAAGAATTTAGTGGTGAAGTAAATGCATAATGCAAGAACATGCCTAATGCCATATACCCTATATGCTTACACACAATGCAAATATAATAGATACTAGTATACAATACAATATAATATAATGCAAATACACGCAAGCACTCAGTATGAACAGATCCCTAAGGATTTCCTTAGAGAAGTAAACCTTTGAGAATCCAGCGCTTTAGTGAATATGTCAGCCAGCTGGTTTTGAGTAGGAACATGCTCAAGAACAATCACATCATTCTCAACCAAATCTCTAATAAAGTGATACTGGATATCTATGTGTTTAGTTCGAGAATGCTGAACCGGATTTTTAGAGATATTAATTGCACTGGTATTGTCACAAAAAAGGTTCACAGTTCTTACCTCAAGACCAAACTCAATCATCATTTGCTTCATCCACATGAGTTCGGAACAACAACTTCCAGCGGAGATATATTCGGCTTCAGCGGTCGAGAGTGCCACACAATTTTGCTTCTTACTAAGCCAGGAGATAAGATTGTTCCCTATATAGAAACAACCACCAGAGGTACTACGTCGATCATCGACGTTTCCAGCCCAATCCGCATCACTGTAACCTGCAAGACTAGAAGATGTGTCACGCGAGTACAAAATACCTAAGTCAGATGTACCATGCACATACTTAATAATATGCTTTACCGCCTTTAAATGCGATTCCTTAGGATTTGCTTGGTACCGGGCACACATTCCAACACTGAAGCACAAGTCAGGCCTACTAGCCGTCAAGTAAAGTAAGCTACCTATCATGCTTCTATAAAGCGTAGGATCAACAGAGATTCCAGCATCATCCCTAGAGAGCTTAGAGTGGCTTCCCATGGGAGTAGCTGGACACTTAGAATTTTCTAATCCAAATTTTCTCACAAGATTTTTAGCATATTTGGTCTGATGAAGAAAAATCCCCTCCTTGGATTGCTTAACTTGCAATCCTAAGAAATAGGACATTTCTCCGACCATACTCATCTCAAACTCACTAGACATGTGACTTACAAATTCATTTACCCAAGTTTTCGAGGTAGAACCAAAGATTATATCATCTACATATATCTGTGCAATGATAATATCTTTATGAGATTTACGAACAAATAGAGTTTTATCAACTCCCCCTCGAGAGTAGCCCATCTCGACCAAAAACTGAGTTAGGCGTTCGTACCAGGCTCGCGGTGCCTGTTTCAGCCCATACAAAGCCTTATTCAGCCTATAAACATGGTCAGGATGATGT